CCACTGGAAGCAAAAATATGCCACCATAATCGATTATGAGCTCAACATAATCGATTATGCCAGCCCATAATTGATTATGTTGCATGCATAATCGATTATGTGCCTCCATTCTTCATCTCTTTTCAGTCTTTGGGGCAGGGGTATTATTAGGTTTTCTCATTTCTTATGTGGCTTTCATCTCTTTTCTTCACAACTTCGCGAGAACGTTCTCCCACTTTTCTTCGCTTTTCTTTTGGTGCAAATCAACGGAAACAAACATGAACTTTCTTCACCTTTTTTCACTTTTCGTTCGTCATGAACAGTAAATCCCCTGAAACAAACAGGGACTAAATGATTTGGTATATAATAAAGAACATGTTCTATAAATTTAAATAGAACAAACTGAACTGATTTTATTTTTCAGGTGAGAGGTTGCTTGGTATGAACTAATTCAAGGTGAAGAAAAAAGATGATATGACTTTATTGCAAAATATAAAATATTATTAAAGATATAACACAGCTTCGAATTTCTTTGTTGGAGATGCCCTTAATGAAATATAGTCGAGGTTGAAAGGTTACTATTTATGAGATTGTGAATGGATAAGGCTAAGATTGCCTTAGTTCTATGTCTATGCACTTGATGCCGAATATTTTGAATATGAACAATACTAAAGTAGACTTGCTTTTATTGTTGTTGTAATAGTTTACTCTGTTTGGCACCATCTTAATTGTCACGAGCTGTTTTATTTTTAACCTCTGTCAAGTTCCACATATTTGATCAGATTAATTATTTCACTCTAAACTGGTGTTGGCACATCTGCATCCATTCTTGTTCATTGCACGTAGTTTCGTTCATATTGGATGAAATTAGAGAAAAGTTGTCTTTTATACTTTCCATGAAGAACAGAATGATTCATCATTTTTGTTTTTGTAAATTATATTCCGTTCTCGTGTTTAAATTACATTACTCTTTTATTTAATTTGATTTTTTTCTTAAGAATAAAGTATATTGCATCTTAATTTACTTTATATACATGAACATTGACAATGATGAAAATTACAACCAAAAACATTTTCCCCATTCTTACAATTTTCGGTGTCACAGCTAATTAATTTTTCATATATTAAATACAGATCGTCATTTTTCATATATTAAAAATTTGAGTTAGGGATAATTTCAGTTGAAAAAAGTCTTCCAAGTGTCAATGGATACTTATAAAAAAAGTTAAATTTACCTAGACCAATCTTTTAGGATTGTTTTAATTTTAGAACTTTGCTTATAATTTTCTAAAGTCTCAAAATAGAATACTGAATAGTAATATTATTTATGTTAAAAATAAATTGAAAGTAATATATATTTATATATATATATATATATATTGATAATTTTATAATTAACAGATATACATTACTTTTGGTAATTTTATAATTAAGATATATAAAGTCAATTTATTTAGTAGGTAAATGATGTCGAGAACGCAGTGTTGTAGTCCAATGAAGGTGGTGAGATATTTGAGGTTTAGTTTAGGATAAGGTTGTTGTCTTCTGTATAGGGTTCCATCATCTCGAGATATTTATGTAGCTCTTGGACTTTTTTGATCATTGTAATATAATAATATCTGCTCCACCTACATTTTTATTCAGACCATTTTGTACACTTCTACACACATATATCCAGCTGTTATTACTCTGACTAGGGTGATAGGGAGAGTGACTGAGTTAAGGTTGTAAGTGTTAATATAATTTACTCTAAATAATTGTTGGAAGGGTTTTGTCCATAAGTATATCTACCTGGTTGAGCTAGTTTTATGTCGTCCTTTCATTATCTTACATTGTTTAGTATTTTTTTTTTAATTAGTACTAAGAATTAAAGAAATAAAAAAGAAACAATTATCTGTCTCTGGGAAAGGTGCTCAAAGAATCGACCTGAATAAGTAATGACAAAGTAGAGGAGTATGCGGACCAAATTAATAAGTAATCAACAACAAAGATAATTTTTTTTTTCTTCCAATTAGTAGGACTATCCAATTGTAGGAAGTAAAATTCATGATATTATAAATTATTGTTGCATGAGAATGAGAATGAAAAATCTCAATTACTCATAGATAACAAAATAATAGTCACTAATCACACTTTCAAGTTATATAAATTTCATGATAAATTATCATTCTAACGGTCTCAAGCTATATAAATTTCAAGATAAATTACTATTCTAAAAGTGTGAAGATTGTGGTCCAATTCTAGGATGTAAAATGCTTAATCTTATAAATCATCGTTGCATGAGAATGAGAATAGAAAATATTAATCACTCACAGATAATAGAATGATAGTTTAAAATATATGTCATTCTGACAATGTGAGTGAGGACTATGGTCTAATTGTAGGAAATTAAATTTTTGATTTTATAAATCATCACCGTATGAAAATGAGAATGAAAAATCTCAATTAGTCACAAATAACAAAATGATCTGGTAGTTATTATCTCAAGTTATATAAATTTCATGATAAATCGTCATTCTGAAAGTGAGTGAGGATAATGGTCCAACTGTTGGAAGTAAAACTCCTAATCTTATGAATCATTATTTCATGAGAATGGAGAATCTCAATCACTCACAAATAACATAATAATATTAGTAGCTACCGTCTCAAGCTATATAAATTTCATGATAAATTGTTATTTTGAAAGAGTCAGGACTATGGTCCAATTGTTGAAAGTAAAACTCATAATCTTATGAATTATTGTTGCATTAGAATGAGAATTTAGAATCTCACTTATAGATATTAAAATGATAGTCCAGGCTATATAAATTCCATGATAAATGTTATTCTAAAAATGTGAGTGAGAACATAATTCAATTGCAAGAAGTAAAATCCATGATCTTATAAATCATTACTACATGAGAATGAGAATAGAGAATCTCAATCACTCACAAATAATAAAATGATAATCAACAACTACGATCTCAAACTATATAAATTTCATAATATATCTTCATTATGAAAATGTGACGAAAGACTATGATCCATGTGATCCATCATAAAAAGTAAAATTCTTAATTTTATGAACCATGGTTACATGAAAATAAAAATAAAAAATCTCAATTGCTCATAAATAATAGAATAATAATAAGTAGACACAATCTCAAACTATAAAAATTTCATAATAAATCGTTATTAGCTCTGCTCGGAGAATCGTAGAAAACCCACAAAAATCCGTGAAACTTGTTAGCCACCGACCTGCACTATCTCGGATTACCATGCCTGACAAATCTGAGTTTCGTTGACAGCTTCCATTTGTAATGCTGTTAAAGAAACTCGGAGTTGTCAACCTTTAGTAGTAATATCCGTGTTTAGCACGTGTTTAATAAAATTAAAGTTGGGATATATCTTGTTCCTTTAGGGGTCTCTTAAAATCTAGGCAGAGAATCTTGAGGAAAGAGGGTGTGTAATTAGAGGAAGAATTTGGGCTGAGAGATCTGGTTGGAGTTGAATATTTAGAGTAAACAGGATGGAGAGTTTGGTATATAATAATATAATTTCAATAACAAAATATCATATAAAATCAACCTTCTCTTAAAACATATAAATATTTATTTAAAAACTCTAATAAAAAATATTTATTTAATAAGTACAAAATAATTGTCCAAAACAATAATTATTTAAAATGTACAAAATAATATTCCTCTATAATTATTAAAATAATTATGACCAAATGTCATATAATAATAATAATAACCTTTTCGAAAACTGGGGTGTTACAGGGTCAAGCAAAACAAGGGTCCGACAAAACAAGTCAAATAATAGAAGGATCATGGCTTGCGTATCAGTCGATAATGAACATCAAACGAAGATACGCCAAGAACAATCCAGAGCACAAAAAAAGAAATCAGAAACAATAACAAAGCAAGACCCAAGACAAAGTTGACTCAAGCACCAAACAAACATCAGACGAAGCTCAAGGGTCAACCATACACATTCAAGCAAATAAAAAAATTATCAATCGTTGGATAATTGATGGAAGAGCATGGACCAAAGGTCCAACCACTAGAGCTATGGCCAGGAGATTACTTGAAGACTTGATTGCTTCACAACTTAGTGGGCCCAATGGGCTTGGTGGGCCTAGGGTGCTCCTCACTTGGGCTTTACTTGATTGACACCATGATTTATTGCATATTCATAGAATAGGGATTTACTTTGCTTTTGGTCTTGTATTTTGACCATAGATTAGGGTTTGTGAACTTTGGGCTTGTAATTGGGCTTCATGAGCTTTTGGGCTTTTGATACCCAATATTGGGCTCATTCTCTTTCTTGTAATTTTTCCTATTCATTGTATTTCTTTGACCATTGTATTTAGGTCATTAGTGTAGGATTTAAGGAGGATTTATTAACTCAAAGGATTAGGCAAAACTAGGTTTAATTTAACTTGCATTTAAGTTGAATTTTGAGTCACATGGTTGGCGCCACCTTGGCTGAACATGTGTGACTCGAATTCAACCCTAAATGCAACTTAAATCAAACCTAAACTCACTTAGCCTCTTTGTGAACCGGTGACACACATGTGAGTTGAGATTTGAATTCAAATTTCAAATTTGAATTCAAATCTTGGCGCCACATGTGAAGCCTTCACATTGGCGCCAAGTGGCTTTCAAGTCCGGTCCTATTTAAGTTTCCCTCCAAGCTCCTTGTACACCACTTTTGATATATGAAATTTGAGAGCAAAACTTCTGCCAAGTTTCTTCCAAAAGTCACCGAGATATTGCCTTCAAAAACCCTAGGAAACCTACCTAGTTCCTACCTTTTGAAGTGAGCAATCCTTTGAGCCTTAAGCCAGGGTACTTCCTTCCTTAGTCTAGGCTATTCTAATCCGAAAACCTCCTCCATTTCAAGTGTTCATCCATTCGGTTTCAAGCTCCATTGAAGAGGTCCAAGCTTTGGTGAATCCGAGGAGAAAACACCTATCACTTCTCCTAGTTTTTGCATTCAATTTTGGTATCAAGAGCAGAACATTATAAAATGCATACTATATATATTCGATTTATGTGGAAATTTTTAATTAATATAAATACCCCAAGGCATTCTAGAAGTTGGTAGTATGCTCTTCCTTGAAGTGGATTGTGTCCCTTCCTAGGCTTAGAGAAGTATCTTGTCCTACAAGAAATAAATGAAAAAATGGAAGATAAAATGTTTGAAAGTATAGCATCACAACCTTACATGAACAAAATAAATAAACAAATAATTTAAAAATGAAGATTTGGAGTATCAGTGACAGAAACACCAGGAATATAATATAATAAATGATCAATATCAAAATAGAGAACCCACCATTCGGTATATCCTGGATCAACAGTGAAACCATATATATCAATAATATCACACATGGAGAGCGCCAACTCAATAGATTTCATTCCAGTTCCTTTGGCACCTCGACGTAGTACAATTCCTTGGAAGAGATAGACTGGATTTGGTATAGTCTGTCATAAAAGGTAGTTCAAAAGAATGTGAATAAATCTATCCTAGTAAGTATCCAGTTGCTCCCATCTGTATTGAGTTCATATACTAAAAAGCATCCAATGAAATAGTTATCAAAGAACGTGTTCACACCTTTATAACTGCATTGATTTCTCTGTGCGTCAGACTTTTGATTATGAGTACCTCGGTGTCTACAAAAGAACAAAAATTTTAATCCTCTCATTATGTACATATCATGAACTAGCAGATGCTAATAGAATTTGGTTTTAGGGCCTAACTCAATCCTACAAAACTGATTTATAAGGTAAGGACCATCCAAATTTTATAAGTTTTATTTAAGTCACATCTCTAATTGATGTAGGACTAAACCACAACTCTTGAAGTTGCCATTACGGCAGCTCCCAAAGAGACTGCATCTAGGGCGGGTTAGGGTTAACCACAATTACAGCAGCTTTCCAACTAATACAAGGGAAAAAATAGGATTAAAATCTCATAATGTCTAGTGAACTTCTACTTCCCAAGTCTTGAGCAACTACCAACCAGTTGATCCCCACAAATCTGAGGTATTAGATGCCAGATACCCAGACAATATATTAATATATTTGTTAACAAAGTTACAAGAATCTAACATATTACAGGTTTATCATAATAGCAATTTTTATAATTATTTATTTCATTTTATTTGCTAACATATTACTAATTGCTGTTTACTTGTTAATAGATTAATTTTAAAATTTTATTATCTTTTAGAGTTTATAGGCCAGTCTTCCAAATTCAATTTGGTCAAAATCATGGTAGTAAGAATCGCACGATACGCGATACGTATCGCACTCTCCTCGGATTCACCAAAGCTTGGACCTCTTCAATGGAGCTTGAAACCGAATGGATGAACACTTGAAATGGAGGAGGTTCTCGGATTAGAATAGCCTAGACTAAGGAAGGAAGTACCCTGGCTTAAGGCTCAAAGGATTGCTCACTTCAAAAGGTAGGAACTAGGTAGGTTTCCTAGGGTTTTTGAAGGCAATATCTCGGTGACTTTTGGAAGAAACTTGGCAGAAGTTTTGCTCTCAAATTTCATATATCAAAAGTGTCTACAATAAGGAGAAGAATTACTTTAAGTAGGCATCCGAAATTGCACAAGTTGGCGCCTAACCCAAAGCCCACATGTGGCGCCTAAAATTTGAATTCAAACTTGAAATTTGAATTCAAATTTTGGCTCCCATGTGCTTTGGCCGTGAGTTTAGGAACTAGGTGCATCTAAGTTTAATTTGAAGGTTATTTAGGGTTAATTTGAGTGGCACATGTTCAGCCACCCATGGTGCTAAACATGTGACTCAAATGTAACTTAAATGACTTCCAAATTAAACCTAATTTAGTCTAAATTGCCTAACTAAGTAATCCTTGTATAATCCTATTCTAATGACCTAAATACAATGGTCAATCAAATACAATAGAAAGGAAAAATTACAAGAAGGAAAATGAGCCCAATATTGGGTACCAAAAGCCCAAAGGCCCATGAAACCCAAAACTAGGCCCAACAAGCCTAAAGCACAAAAATGCTACTATAAGTGGTCCAAAATACAAGACCAAAATATGTGAAACCTATACTAATATAATATGTACAAAATATAAGAAAAATGGATTTATTAAGAGATGGCCCATGTGAAGCTCAAATTGGGCTTTCCAGGCCCATCGGGCCCATTGGGCCTTGACTGGCCCAAACCTTCATGTCTAGCCAACTCCTCTTGGCTCCTTCAATGTGTCACCCCTTGCCTTCCTAGGCATGATTCCATCATGAGCAAAGGTCAGGTTGTCAAATTTAGGCTTAAATATGGTGATTTTATAGTTTTAAAAAATAATAGATAGTAAAATCAACTCTTGAGGTTAAGATAGAAGTTTTAGATAATTATCTTAACTTTCTAATAAAATTAAGATCAACTTGATAGCATATGTACAACTCTAGATATCGCATTTAGACCACATAATGTCATAGGAGCTTAAGATAAGAAAAAATAGTTTATAAATTATAATGGTAAGTTATTTTATCCTTTAAGTGTTTAATCTTGAGAATGGTTTGAAATATTTATATTAATAGTTAAGAAAGAGAAAATGTGAAAAGGGACACACACACACACACACACACACACACACACACACTAATATATATATATATATTCATGAATGAGTTATGATGGTTATGATGAAAATATGAAATTATGTTTGTAAGATTTTGTGTTTGAGACTTTGTGCCTATATGTGATATGAAATCCTTATATATTCGTGATGTGACTTGAGATATTGATGCTTGACTTGAGAATGTTGTGTATGTTTGAGACGTTAGTGAATAATGATAACGATATTCATTTTTTAATTGGAGGTGGTAAGGAATCTATGCAGAAAGGTCTCTATGTCTTCAACCTTGGCCTTGTGGGTGTTTTGATGGGGATCCTCCAATGAGTATTGGAGGCAACCAGGCACCATTGTGATACCCCAACTGGATCTCAACAGATCTTTTTCTAGTTGAGAGTTGATTGACAGGGTCACCTAAAGTGTGGTGATCCATTTCATGTGCTCTACCTTGTATTTAGAGCACCTTTGACGATATTGGAGATTGGTACCATGTACATATAAAATTAAAAACATAAGTCTAGATGAGTCCTTGAAGAGGTGGATGTGTATGATTTTGATATTGATATGTTAGTGAAACTCTGATGGAGATAGATTTTTTAATTCCTTGAATTGACATGAGTTGTAGTTTTGTGGTGTGTTAGGGTACTATCCATATATATTTCTTATCCATGCTTAAACATGTGTGAGATATATTCTCACTCCTTGTATGTTTTTCATTGTTGTTGTTTTTCTTGTTTGGTGTTAATGTCATATGTAGGAGTTGATCAGGTAGATGAGATTGAACATCCAAAAGACAAAACTTAAGTTTTGATTTATATTTAACAGGATTTCACTAATTAGTATGACATCGAGGCTAGTGAATTAGTTTATATTTTCTTTGTGTTTTATCTTAAGAGTGTTATTTTTAAATTTGGATTTCCTTTCATAATTTGTAAAGGAAAATTAATGCATAAACATATTTTATTTGTGAACTTATTCTTATTTTATTCCAATTTAATGCAATTGGAATTTTATATAGTGATATTTTTTTATATGTGAATCATTTTATTTTACATGCAAAAATTCTTTTAAATTAAAAAAAAATGTTAAACTTTAGTAATATTTATAATAAATGTTTTGAGATAAAAAGATGTCATATCAATATTCACAATTTATGATTTTGATTGATAAGATGATTTATTATAAAAGAATAGGTAACATGTATAACAAATATTTTTGAAGATTTATGCTTCTTTTCTTCTTTTTTTTTAATCAATTTTTTTTTCTTCTTCACTTTTTAGTTTCATTTGTACTTGATCCTCTATCACTTGTGAAGGAGACAAAGGATGAAGTACAAACTTTTTCTCTTTATGAGTGAAAGTAATTTCATTGGTAAGGCCATTATGCATGATTTTCTTGTCAAATTGTCATGGCCTCCCCAACAAAATATGGCAAGCTTCCATGGGAACTATGTCACATACCATGATCTTCATAGTTACCAATGGAAAACTTGACTTTCACTTGCTTGTCCACAATGATATCCCCATCTTCATTTAGCCAATGAAGTTGACATGGTTTTGGATGGGGAATAAATCATGAAGAGCAAGAAAAAATATCTGTAATAAAAATCTAAATTCTGAAATATGAATTCAAGTAGACAGGGTTAGTTGTGTTTGGCTACACTGTTTTATTGGTTAAAATTGAATAGCATCTTCCACCATCCAATTTTCAAATTATGTACTTTTTTGTAAATGAGAGCGAGTTTTGGCACTACAGTTAGGTAGCTTGTGACTTGAAGCTCACAGGTTCAAATCTAGGAAATAGCCTCTCTGTTTGCAGGTATAAGGCTGCACACATTTACTTTCTCTAGATCCCATTAGGTGGGAGCATATAGCACCGGGCAAGTATTTTTTTTTGCAATTGATATAACAAGACCATTTGTAATGTTAAAAAAATTGGACATACAATAACATTAAGATTGTATACATTTTAAAAAATGTATATATGTTGATTGCATGATGATGCTGAATAACAAAAGAATAACATTTTACAACATTGCTGAAGGACATGAAAACCAGGAATGCAAAAGTATAATTCACATAGAATAAGAATTAGAAAGGTTAGTAAAAAACCAAACATATTGCAAGAAAATTACAGAAGTTGAGTTATCAATAAATTATCAGGTAACAAAAGATGGGTATAAATTAAAGCTATATTTCATAGTGTATCCACTTCACCACTTGTAAATGATAGATATTGTGAATAGATTCTCAATACAACTAATGTGACATTGTGATTCAAAATTTCAAAAGTTAGTTTTCAATAAAGTTTGATATTTTTGTTTAAATAGCATATATAATAATAACTTACCAGACCCATTTAGAATAGGGACCATGTTACGAGCAGCACCTCGTACAACTAGTCGGAAATCCCTCTTAAGACCAACATATTTGGCATATTTCTACACAATCCATAGAGACAAAATAAGTATCGCAATTTTTCTTTAAATATTATATCAGATAAATGCACCATATGCTTTAATACTCTATATCACTATGACATCTTGTTCAGAAGAAAAAAAATAATGGTTGGAGATTACAACAGCAGGTGGTCAGTTTCATCTATGCTTGGATAAACTAACAGGATATCAAGACAACAGAAATTGTAAGAAGAAATTATAAAAAATTTAATGACTGAGAAAATTTGCTCCATTATGTATGCATGGGTTAACAGTTTCACCTCATTAACAGGGGCCTCATTGTCTCGAAAAACAGCATCATGACTATCAATTTCTTCGCCAAATTCGGTCTTTAGAAGGTCCCCAGAATTCCCAACAACAGCACAGGTACGAAACTGCCGTGGATGAAATGGGGGCTTTGCAGGTAACAATATATTGAGGTTCTCTTCACAAAGAGTCTTGTTAGTGCACTTCTTTGTCCCCCTACAAGAAGCAAAGCCATCACCACATTGTCACTCGCTAACCAATAACACATGCAATGTAACTACATCAGCATTGACAATAAAAAACAGGAAACAGGTAAGGTTTCGAGATCCATACAATTGCGCTATCCTTAGTGGAGCATAATCCATCCAACCACCAGGGCGAGCATCAAGATACTCTCTGGTCAACACCGTAGTCATGTTCCGATACTGCAAAATCTCAACACTTGTAAATATTCATCCGGAAAATACAACTTAACCAGGACAAAAGGGATGACGTGACAATGCACCTGTTCCCACAGTAGGATTGTCTCACACACATCATAATGGTACTCCAAATCCTCAAATTTGTTAAACTGCGTATTGTACTGCAATCATTGAAACATGGAAAACAAAAAAATCAGCATTTGGCTATTCTTATAATTTGGGTTTTGGACCTAACTAAACTCTAAAAACTAGCTTAAAATATGAGAAATACCACCACTTATAAACGCTATTTTATCCATATCAAAGGTCAGCATAGAATTTCCAACACACACCCTTTACACCAAAGTTAGGACATTTGAAGGTCGCCCAATAACCAATTGATAGTGAGTGACTTGATAGGCCAACAACAACAACTAGAATAGACTAATTAAACTCTAATATCATCTTATAATTTAAATTTTAAGTCCAATGCAACCCCAAAAGCTAGCATAAGAGGTAAGTGCTACCCCTCACTTATACACATTATTTTAGCAACATCAGTAGCCAATGTGTGATCTCTAACATCATCCAATGAAAACTGAATCAAATAAGAGAACTGAGGACTCCAGTGACAGAACGACATACCCAAGTGCTGTTGGTATCTTTGGGGTATTTAAGGATCAATTTGCAATGATCAACAACATGTGCAGTGAGTCCAAGCCCCCTGTTATCCTGTTTCAATTCCCAACCTCAACCTCAGCAACATCTTCAGACAACTAAATTTTTATTTATTTATAATAATTATTAAATAAAAGACAAAGCAGTTAATTGAGAAATGATTAGACACATGAGATCCAAGAGTTACCACACAGTGCTGAACAGTGGACTGGAAGTTAGACAAGACGCGGATTGTTTCGGAGTTGCGATCCGAATAGAGAGAGCCTGAAAACGCGAATTGGGGTGAAAATAAAGAAAACGCGAAGGGGAATTGGAATTGGAATGGTTAGGGCGAATACCTGCGAAGAAAGAGGATTGGAGGTAGAAGAGGAACAGGGAGAAGAATGCAGCCGCACACACCAGATACAGAACGGTGGGTCTCCGGTTAACGGAGGGTACTTGCTTGTGCGGCCTCATTGGAGAGAGAGAGAGAGAGAGAGAGAATGTGACTTAGTTATCGGAAACGACGACGTTTTCTGCTCTGATGAACATTGCCGACATTCTTTGCCTCAGATTTGAGATGTTCTGATTTCTGAACGGACCTGATGCCAAAATTTTTAATAAAGTCCGGTGGAGCTGTGATTCAAGTTATCTTTCTCCATTTTTTAGAATATAAAGTGAAGGTTAGAATTGTTGGTAGAATTTCATGCAACAACATTTTCTAAGTAATATTTTTACAAAAATATCAAAAGTTATTTTTTTATGACATTTGTAAATCTATTTTTTTTATTTAAATCATTTTAAAATTTAGAAAATACTCTTAATAATATTAAAATAAATCAAATACTTTCTTTTTTATATTTCTAGAAATAATGTTTTTAACATATTATTTATGTGAATATGATTCTAAAAGTACATTATTATAAGAAATAAACACTTTTAAGTATGTTAAGAGTTTGATTATCTAATTTTCAACAATTTATTTGGTCTGATCTTTTTTCAACTTTTCTTTTCCTTAAAAGGAAAAGTCTGGTCAAACACTTTTTATTTATTTATTAAAAGCTTTAAAAAAACTAAGCTAAATTTTGAAAGCAAATAGCTTTTGATTAAGATAATAGGAGCAACTTTTTTATGTCTTAAGTAGAGCTTGTTGTAACGTAGCAAGTTGTTTTAGAAAAGTCCAATATAGGTGATTTTGTATGTATGTGTTATCTAGTTTAATATTTTCTTAGTTAACTAGTGTTAGTGCGATTTCACTAAGTGTAGAGACCATAGCGGATTGTTACACTTGTTTATATAGTCTCTTCTTCGAATCCTAATGAAACCAAAATTATATCATATTTTAAAATTATTGCTAATTTTCATATTTTTGTTGCAACCTCATCTTACTTTTTGCTTGGATTTGTACACTAGAAGTCTAAATTCTTGTCAATTCAATTAAATCATATTTAATTTAGATAGATATATAGGAATAAAGAAATAGCAAGAAAGAAAGATATCGGAATACACCTTAATATCATTCATGGCAACCAAAATGACATTTATTTAGTTTGACTACATAGTAATAAGACCCATAATTAGGGCCTAAATTATTAACTATATTGTATTAAAAAAAACTATGGTTTTCAAAGGGATTTTGGGGTAACGGGAGAACTTGGTCTAATTGGGGGGTAATCTTTAAAACCCATCATCCTTTTTCCTTCTGATTTAGAGGTTGCAGGATGACTTGGTCCTGTTGGGGGATAATCTTCAATGTTCATTACCATTCTTCCTTCTAATTTAGAGGAAACAGGATGACTTGGTCCTGTTGGGGGGTAATCTTCAACATTCATCATCATTCTTCCTTCAAATTTTGAGGTAATGGGATGATTTGGTCCTGTTGGGGGGTAATCTTCGATATTCATCATTGTTTCTATTTGTTTTTGAAAATATTCTATCCATAGATCCATTGGTTGATCTTATTTTGAATTTCTTTCCACAATCAATTTGTTTAGGACCTATTTGCTTGTGCGTTTTGTGTTTTTGTTTGAGTCTCTCATCTCCTAAGCATGTGTCCGTGATTGGACTTCATCCATTGCATTAGATTTTTGTTTTTGAATCCTTGTTTTGTCTTAGCAAGTTATGTGTAGTTCTTATATGTTGATAATTCCTTGAATAGCTTGTTTAACCTATTTTTTTTTTGCATTGTGTTTGTCTATTTTTTGTTCACGTTTTGGATATAATCTTTGTGCCTACCTATATGTGCTTTTGTTTTACCTAATTGAGTTCATAATTTTCTATTAGTTCTAGCAAATTTCTTAGAGTTAGGTTTCTATTATGTCTTGTTAAAAAGTTTGTCAAATAAAATTGTTAAACACTACTTCTCTATTAGGTTTCTTTGAGTCTTGTGTGTGGCTGAAACTATATCAAATTTTAAAGCCTTAAAACAGAGACAAAACAGAGGTGTATGTGTTCTTAATGCATGAGAAAACAAAAGAAAAATAGTGCATAAAATTTGACCTAAAAAAACCCAAGTAAGAAGCACCCTAGGCCCACCAAGCCCATTGGGCCCACTAAGCTCTGAAGCAGTCAAATCTTCAAGTAACCTCCTGGCCATAGCTCTAGTGGTTGGGCCTTTAGCCCATGCTCTTCCATCAGACGATCTTCTAGGTAAGACTAGTGAGCCTCCTTCCTAGATACGTTCGTTGTTCTGCAGTGGGAGTGGTACCTGCAAAAGAGACTCTGATGCTTAAGTTAGTGTTTATGGGCGTATGGATCTCGTATAAGTAATGCACGTACCTTAGTGTGAATTAGGGTTTATCTGGGCCTTGGGCCTAAGATCGGTTATGACCTGTTCAGATAGGGGGCCTTTATCTTGGCCGATGTCATGCGGTGCATATCCGATGTCAATCTTCGCTGTGATGCCGAGCTCGAGCTCGGCTTAGAAATACGGATAGTACACTAGCCCCCTGAGCTCCGAAGACCATGGGTCGAGGAGTTAATACCGAGCTCGATGAAGGGTCATGACTCTTTGCGTACGCTCCTCTAACGTGACACCATGTGTCATAAGTGTCACATCGTTCCTTGAAACGCGTGGGCGGCGTGTTAATGAGAGGTGACAGTTACGTAATGATGGGCGCACTCATCATAATGGGCTCCATTAATGTGTCGTCAGTTTTGTCCTTTTGCGCCACGTGTCACTACCATTTTTCAATTCTTCAAACCCTTTTCCCTTCTATCCTTCGCGCCCTCTCACATTCTCTTTACCTTTTCTTTCTTGGCTTCTCGTGCATGCTGACACTTCCTTCCATCATCTTTGTTTGACTCTATCGTCACCGTTTCTGGCAACCCGGTTGCCGTTAAGTTCCCTATCTATGGAAGAGTACCAGGTACTTCCCTTCTATTGTCTTTTCTCACGTTCTTTCTCTCTACCGGTCTTCTTCTTCTTTCTTTTTTGCCTTTTCCACTCTCGATGGCTGGTGAGAGTAGTGTCGCACCTTCTGCGCCGGCCAAAGGCAAGGGCAAGGCGCGCAGTAAGGCGGTGGCCAACGAGACGGCCGCCGCTGAAAAGAAGAGGGGTGTTGTGCTACTTTGCATTTTTATGTTTTAACCTTGAAAAATCTGAATAACCCCCCCCCACTTCGTGTTTAAGCCTTAGACAGAAAAATATGGTCCTTGGGAGACAACCTAGGACAACTTCCTAGTACTGCATTTAATTGTTTTATTTGACCGGATACGACTTCGATCACAATCCAAGTAGGCGTCTACATCCTCTTTTCCATGAAAAGGAGGGAGATCAACTCGTGACCCCCTAACCTTTGGTTCCTTAATGACTATTCTAGGCATAGGTTGATAATACTCATCCACATTCAAACTACCTACATCCTCTTGGCTTGTGGAGCCATTGGAACTCTTATGACTTTTTTCTTATAGATAAGATTAAAAAATGTAAACAAATTAATATTAATTCATAAATAAAATGTATTATTTATTTTGTAGTCATCAATAACTTTATTGAAAATCATCAGAAAAATTAGTAATTAACTCTATCATTACAATATAAATTTTATATTACAAAAAAAAAAATAGTATACAAAATGCGTTATCATTCAACTTTTATCTTTATTATTTTTTAATAACTCTAAAATTTAATATTCTAATTTAAAAATAGCAATGATTTTAATTTGATTTGACAAATTTAGTGTGTGTTTGGTTCAAATTTTCAAAATATTTATCACGTTAGAATGGAAGCTATCAGTTATAGCTTTTACGTTTTAAACGTGATTTTTATTTTGATTCACGTTTTGAACGTGTAACCAAACACATAACTTTTATTCTTACACTACAACGAAATTAGTTTATAGCGACACATTTTATATTAACATAATATTTGTCATTAAAAATTACTTTTACGTATAATTATATTTTTATAATTGTTAAAAGTGCATTTATAAGTTATATATACATAATATATGTGTTGAATTTAATTCAAAATCAATATTAAAATTGTATATAAATATATATCAAATAAATGTATACCTATATGAATTTATAATGATATTTTTTATATGTCATTATAGTAATATTTATTGTAGTATTATATTTTTATAACTTTAAAATTTAATATTTTAATTTAAAACTAGCAATAATTTCGGTTTGAACTGACAGATTTAAATAGTGACCTTTATCATTTTTTATAACTCTAAAATTTAATATTTTAATTTAAAACTAACAATAACTTTAGTTCAGACCGAAAAGTTTAGTTGATAAGTTTAGATGACAACTTTTATTTATATAATTTTTTTATAACTCTAAGATTTAATATTTTAATTGAAAACTTGTAATAATTTTAGTTCGGATTGAGAAGTTGCATTAAACATCAACTAATTTTAAAGGATAAATTATACTTCTAGTCAATTATTTTATTTTTAAAATTCATTTTTGTCATTTATATTTTAATAAATTTATTTTGATTTTTTATCTCTTAAATTTAGATTAATTTGGTCATTCTAAAATAATTATTATTTTCAATTTTTTAACATAATTTTGAGATTTAAACCTTAATTTGAAATTTAAGAGACTAAAACATATTTATTTTAAATTTGAGAGACTAAAGACATATTTAAACCTTAAAATAATATATAAAGTTGTTACATTAAATGGGCTTGAATAAAATAATGTATACCTTAAATAGCCATAAGTAAAATAGTTAATGAAAATTATAGTATGAACATGTTTGACCAAATGATATACCAAAGGCGTTACGATGTACCGTAATTTTTATCTTTTTCATTTCTTTTGAAATTTTATGATATAATATTTTAATTTAGAACAAACACAAATAATATAGGATCTGATTCGAATTTGCATTTTTGATGATGCAAGTTTGACATCCTTGATTATAAAATCCTATTTTGGTGAGCATATTTACTTAAGGGGATTCCTTTTCGCTAAAGATGAAGTTCCTTTGATGGATATCTATTGACCCTTAGTTTAGCAAGTAAAGTCTTGGATCACATTAAACATTGCTAAACCTCGATTAATCACTAAGTGGATAGTGTTTTAGTTTGATGATTCCTAGCATGTCATTGACCCCCTACTCGAAAGTTATGGGGTATCATCTCTTATCTACCGGTAGCAATAATCTCACATGGTATATTTCACTATATGATAA